CGGGGGGGTCTAGAGAATACTTATATCCAGTTGTTTTTTCTTCAAAGTCATCATTATAGTAGATATCCACTTGTAACGACACATTTGAGTTTTGAAAGTTGCCCGAACAAAAATAAAACCGCGTCTTTGCGCACTGTCTGAAGACGCCATTGTTTTTTTACCCAGAATCACTGGGTATGTTCGTCTTCCTCTCAGTCTTCCCTTCAAAACAAGCCCTCACTCGGACTTCTCAGTGCTATGGTTTGGGGGGTACAACAAGTTGACGAAAACAAGCGCACCAAACTTCAGCCCTCCAGGCATTTACCTTTCTGTGCGTCATGACAGCATTGTCTTGACTACCATTGGCCGATTTGGATGTCAATCAAACCATCTTGTAGCCAATAATCTCAGGTTTCAGGCGATGTGTCGGACTTCAAGGTTCCTCCCACTGTTCGAGTGTTATTTGAATGCGTAAGAGAGGAAAGCGGAGCATTTTCACGGAGAACACGCGCTATAACTATGTAAATAATAGCTTTTCTGTAAACATTTCAATATCTGGAAAAAAATCCTATTTATAGCAAGAGTAATAGCCAAAAAATGATATAATTTGATTTTTGGTGTAATAATGTTGATAATTTGCATGTAAAACACTTTGGCACAATTGGCACAAATATGGACCGCTTGTGCCGAATGTGCCCATTAGTCACAAAAAAGCCCCCAGCATCAAAATGGTTTCACCTAAAGGTCTAAAATTTCATACAGTTGTTGCCAACACCACAGACATCTGCTCTGGTGAGTTTGAACAACATATCATAAAGTATGTCTTCAGGACAACCTTTTGAAATTGCCTTTTTTTTTTCGAGACAAAAAAAACTAACTTTTACTCATGTTTGAGAAGGTGTAGTGCAGACTGTGTCCTTCCTAACAAACTGTAACATACATTTCCAGAAACTAGAAGGTGTTACCTTTCAAATGAGGTCTCATAACACAAGATCAGACACAAGATGTCCACACAGTAAGCATTTCTATTTGGGTATCATAATTCGAGAAGAAACAGGCGAAATTAGGTGATCCTTAAGGGGTTAAAACAAAAACTATGGATAGAACTAGCAAAAACAAAAACCTTTTGGTTTTGGTTTCTTACTTACCAGTTGTGAGTTACCATAGCAACACACAGTCTACTTGCAGCAGTTAGCATGGGTTTCCTTTTTTTTTGCTTTGTTAAATTGATAAGTAGAAAAGGGGGCGAAAAGAAATACATAAGTATCTGTACTTCTTCCTGCTCCCTGATTGTATATTTTATTTATTCCTTGAGGGAACAAATTGTACATACATTGTACACATATAGTTTTTATTTTTATATATATATATTGTTATTATTTTGTATTGTACGAATAAAGACTCATTCATTCAGATAGCATTTGGTAGCTTTTCACCAAATTGTTTTTATTTATTCAAAGTTATATATTAGCCAGTATTAACACAAATGATGACTAAATGTTTTGAAAAAACTTTCAATAGAACTATCAAAAATGAAAAAATGTTTGGTAATTTCTCAGAATTACAATGATTTCAATGAGAAAAAAAAAGAACATAAAAAAACCTCAACCCAACTGCAGTTCACTATTTCGCCACACGTTGAAGCATAACTAGCATTTTAAACTTTCTGGAAAAGGTAAGTTAGCATGATTAACACTGAGAATTTGTGGCCGTGTTTTTACAAACAAAGATAAAAAGCCTAACTACTTGTTGAATACAATGACAATGTTATAGAGAAATACAAGGCCAATTAATTATATTAAACTTTTCAACTCACATTTAGCGTTAGCTTAGTTTTGCAATCAACAACAGCATGCGCAGTAATCTGACCTGACGAAAATGCCACGTTTTTAATATCATTTAAGGAGCAAGCAGAGATAACACCTATGTTCGAATTAATTGAATAAAAAATGATTTGCCATGACCCCCTGATGAAAAGATACTTACAGTTTCCCTTCTGATAGTGCAAGCTGTATCTTCACTATTCTTCTGTGGACAGCGGCTGAACAGGCCTTTGCCTTTAATGGCAGGAGCATCTCAAGGAATTCTAATTAATTTCCCACTCTTAGCCGCTGAATCTGCGTTAATTTCCCCCTCAAGGACTTTTATAAATTTCATCATTAATAAAATCAGACATTCAATTAGTCCCAAAATCCAGATTGCCAACTGTTTCATAACAGTCCGGCTCTGATTTCCTTTTTTATTAACTGGTGTGAAGAAAGTTAAAACTAATTTAATTAATCTAATTGTCATAACTTCCAACCATCTCTTAATTAGTTGAAATTAATATGATTAATCACAATAATGACAAAAACTCATTCAATTACAGGTTTTCAATGGCAAGTGGATGTGTTGGGGGTGATAGGGGCATAAAGGATGAGGGCGGGAAGCAGAGCCGGCTACGAGACACACGATTGGTCCAGATTATCCCCATGACTGGCAGCTTATCAATCATGCAGCACTTTTAATAACGGCTGCTGGAACTTCAGTGGAAGGCCTGGCTCAGTTGTCCTCTTTCTTGTTTTATTTCAAAACCCTTTGGAACTCTCCTTATTCCTCCATGAAATATGATCCCTCTTTGGATGGCTCGAGCTGCACATTCTAATGAAGAGAGTGGTGTGCATAAAAACAAAAATGGACTCATCCATATGTAAATAAAACGACTGCGGCGCATACTCATCTCCACTTGGCGATTATGGCTTGGAATTGCATACGTTTATGCAGCAGAATGATATCACTTCATTTGTATTTGTCGTTGGCTAAAGCTCCGTCCTCCTTTTCCTTTTCCATTCTTCTCTGTGTAGACATATGGATGTGAGGGATGCACATCTAACGGAAGCATGGGAGCAGAAGCATGTCACCATTTGTCACATGCCACTAGACCACAAGGCGAGCAGCAGGTATGCCCCCTGGGTGACGCACAGCGGGACAAGAGAGCAGCCACCCAAATACTCCTCTGTTGGACGTCTGGGGTAGATTTGGTCATCATTAGTCCATCTGTGTCCCCACTGGAGAAGCCCCGATGTTCTCTGCTCTCAACCCTCTCTGCTGCGTGTTCTGCGGTGATCTTCTCGCTCTTGGGGGACCCTCCTGCCACCACAGGTAAAGTCAGAGTCCAGCCCACTGAAGCGAAAAGCAAAGCATAGCATGGATACATATGTTAGGTGCCGGTGACAGTGCTTATCATGCAGCTCAAGGACTCCTATCCTTTACCCAATGGTTATATCGCACACAGCATTGGATCCTTGTCTGATGCATATCTGTGCTGACAGCATAGTTGAGAGCCCACAGGATGATAGACATGTAAAAGTATACATTATATACCCAAGTGCCCTGAGTGAGAGCCAAAGCTTTTAAGTACCTCACTGTGGACTGGCACTGCTCTTCCAGGCCCGGCTGATTAGAGGCCACTGCAAGCAAACAGCGAACAGTGCCATATTTGAACATAGCTGTGAGCACATGGGGCAACATATGGAGCCATTTTCTTTTCCCTCTCCAGGACTTTTTAGGCCTGTCAGTTGGGCCTTAATCATGCATTTTTCTGCATGAGAGGACAACTGGAGTGTCTGTGAGCCCACTTGGCTCTTGTGCCCTGCTCTATTCCAGTCCATCAAAGGGCTGCAGCACCGGCATGCAAATGTATAGTCACATTATGCCACCGTGACAATAGGACCACACCAGGGCTGTTAACCATTGTTTTTTTGTTTTTTCTGTTGTTGTAATTTTCTTCTGCTTTGGTGCAAGTGGGATTTTGTGGAGTGGAGATTTTATTTCAATGTACAACAAAAAAACAAATAGGAAAAGCTGTTGGATGAAGCAGACTGACTCTTATTTGGCTCCAACCCCTCTCACAAAATACACACACAAAAGACAGGAGCCAAAAAAAATTCTGACCCTACACCTTCCCCCCATTACTTGATCTTTGGATTCTGGCCTTCAAAAATTGGACTTGTGACACAATATTTATGGGATCCAATCTTTAATGTCCCAGTGTTTTCTCTATCATATCAATCTTGTTCTGACTAGTTTAATATCTCTATTTGTGCGTCTTGAAATTACGTACATTGTCAAGTTAAAAAGCTCTGAAACCTCGTACTGTACTCTACTGAAAAAAAAACAGGTTAATTTTGCCTAGATCACCAACTCTTTGTCTTCCACAAATTTCTTCAAGTTTTTAATTGATCCATGAGTTTGTTCCAGATATTCACTCCAGATTGAAGTAGTTCTAAAGTGAAGAACAACATTTTTTGCTTCCTGTATTCATAACCCTAACTCTGTAATTATGACGTGCATCTCTATCATGGAATAGGTTTGCATATTTGGTGGCATTGTTAACTCTATAGAAACCCTGGGACATTTTTCAATCATCCTTAACCAAATATCTTTTCATTATTTACTGTTCCCATCTATGCTCCATAGAGGGGCACAGTCTTCCGTAAGCATAAAGTTGAGAGAGACTCCTGTCTATATTGCTATTGGGGAATGTGAACCTAATATACACCCTGCTCCGCTGGAGATGAGCATTCGAGCATATACGGCTCAGTAATCTTCCCAGATTTCCCCCTTTGTGTCCCGCATTATTGTTGAAATAAATAACCTTTCACTGCAATCAATGCAGGGATCTTCACTTAAATTATCGCCCTGCAGATAGCTCACTCACGATCTGCTTCTATATCCATTAACTATGTGAGAAAGTGATTTATTGGTGAAGACGAGAAAAACAGACTGTGCAGGTTGGATGGTTTGTAAGACAATAGTGCCCTCTACTGTTTGATATAGAAACCATTTCAGATTTCATGTTAAGACTGGCGTGAGAATGCAGTAGACATCTACTCTGTATGTGTGAACTTCTTATGAGGTTTTAAATCAATCTTTTAAAATAATTCTTAAACTACTGTAACTTCAACACATTCACAGTGAGAAATGCCAGGTCATAGGTTACAGTTGTTTAAACGTAATTAATTCTTTGTGATTGATTGTTTCTATCTGGGGCTCATGCAGTCTTGTCCATCCATCCCCTTGCTCTCCATCTCTCCTGGCGCTGGTGCCTCCTTCTCCTCCTGTGATGTGAGGTTACACGCTCGGCTGGCTCCTCTTCCATGACAGACTGTTACTTCCTGGAGCGGAAACACATTTGATTGTTAACATCTGGGCCATTACAATTGCAAACTAGGGTTCTGTACATCAATCAGGAAGTGATTTCAAAACAAAGAGAGCGTCCTCCAATCCATCTATTGGGAAGCAGGGGCATTACATGCTCCTGTAATCCCGGCTAATTAGCGGGATAATGGGAATGAGATTTATGAATGTGCTGAGGAGAGTGGAGGTGCGAGGGCATGCTCAAATTAGCAGGGATGCACGCCAGCTCTGGGTGCAATAAGGAGGATGTGCTGTTGGTTTTATCTGCTTCTGTGGCTTTAGGTGCTCCACCGAGGGGAACATCATCATGTGCACTTCAGGTGCTGTTCCACTACATCAGCTCTGTGTGTGTTAACATCACACACGGACACATTCTAGCTCTAATGCTGCTGTTGGCCATCTGGATTTTCACATATAATACGCAGCCGCATCATAAGAGCCATCATGAAGAGCCTCTGTGTGTCCAAGGCTTCAAAATGACTGAAGGCCACTGTACAAAAAACAAAGCACTTTCAACTTTTTTAAGGCATAATAAATGTCATCCTTTTATTGGTTATCAGTAGTTATTTATGAGAACCTCTTGTGGCTGTTAATATGCAAGTGGTTGACTCGTTATATCAACTTTTAGGTCTCAGAGTATTTGTGTTGCAGACTGAGGCGCAAGAACAACACAAATTCTAAAAAGTTGTAAAATCCCAGACTATATGACAGCACTGCTTAACTTGATTACCTTGCTTAGCTTAGCCACACATGACGTTAGCACTAATCTGTTCCTTTCTGTAGAGTGGATCTGTTCTCCCAGAGGTCCCTCTGCAGAGCCACCCTGAGCCTGCTCCTCCCTGCGGCCCTGGGGCCTGACCTTGCCCGCTGCTGGAGGGACATCTCCTATTAGAGCAGCACATTGTGATAAGGCCATTTCTTTTCCTTCAGCATCCCTTTAATGTCATCCCTGAAATATGAAGTCATTAAGCCATATTAAAACAGTGCTGACAAACTAATTAACAGAAGACATTATACGGGATGGGCTCGATTAATCCGCTTTAATTGCTCTTTTAAATGGGGGCTCCAATTAAAATTAATAAAGATTTACTGGTGATCGCGCCCAACTACACCAAGAAGTGGATGTCTGAAGGACAGCCAAAAGTCAGCGTCCTACGTTCTCAAGTTGCACTGGTGTGGCCCCTGTGCGCCCTCTGTCTGTGAACGCGCCAAGAGCTGGTGTCAAAAGGCAGAGGATTAGGCCCGTCCTTGTGGCCCCTAGTGGCCCCATGTGGCCCCAAGTCTCAGGGCTTCTTTGTACTCTGCTCTGGAGCTATGATCTCTCTATTGTCTCAACAATGTCTAATGCACTTGGCCTCAATTTGCTCTTCACGCCTCCCACAGCCATAAATATTCTGTACAAAAGCATCATTGGGATTTATAAAGTAGAAAATCTTAATTTGCTGTACATATAGTGTACATATTGTATGGTAGTTACACATAGGTTACATTGCCAATGCTCTCGGTCACTGAGTAGACTTTCCCAGTCTGATATTGAAGATAATACTAGCATCCAATTGTAATTTGTTATCATAAAACAGTGTAAACTACTATTTACAACACAAGAAACAATTTATCTCCCATATTGTTTTCAGAAGGCTAATTGTCCAAAGCCGATCTTCAAAATCACTGTAATATTGCATCTTTCAGCTTCACAAAGTCACAATTTAGTGCTGATCACAGGAGATCTAGAATCAAAACAACTTAATAGTAGATAATAGTAGTAGTAGATAATAGTAGTAGATAATAGTAGATAATAAGATAATAGTGTGAGTGTGTGTATTAGCCTCACTAATAATCAAAACATGAACATTATTGAAGAAAAAAAGTCTTAACTAATATATTTAGATTCTGATAACGTACGATAAACATCAATTAACAGCTTATACCACATGTTAACTACAAGCACCTAAACCCTGAATAAAGTCATAGTATTACCAAGTACTGGTTCAACTAAACAAGTTTTCTCTCATTTACTGTCTCTATTACACGGTATTTGAAAGAACAGTTTTTCATTCATACTTTCAAGAACTATTTTGGCAACACTACATTTACTTAAATACAATACAATACAATTACAATACAATACAATTTATTCTTGTATAGGTCACAACAGAAGTCATCTCAGAGGACTTAACAAAACCATTGAAATCACCAACACAGGTCAGAGAATCAACAGTTAAAACACATGAAGAATATAAAGCACACACAGAAGAAAATGTCCATACATGTTGTAGAATGCTAAAGTGTCCTGATCATCACCAATCCTTTCTGTTGGACACTAACTGTCCAACAAGACCCTCCTGCATCGACAAGGAAAAACTCTTAAAAAACCCAGTGGGAAAACGTGAGAAACCTTGGGGAGCACTAGGGAAACCCACAGGGAGGGAGACCCATATGAGAAAGGGATCCGCTCCTCCGGACGGACAGGCTAATGATCTAGGACCTAAGCTAGCTACAGAACGTGGACCAGTGGCCGCTGAACGTGGACAGGTCCGGTGCAGGACCGAAGCACTCCCAGGCGGGTCGGGCGGGGCAGTCCGCAGGTGTAGATGGAAGAGGCCAGGCTCAGAGATCCCGTCATCGTACCATGAAACAGACAATGGGACAACGGGTGAATAGCAATGAACAAACTACAGTCAGAATCCTAAAAATGCTAAACAGATAAAGTAGGAAGGAGGAGAGGATAGTGCTCAAGTTACCATACTTCTCCCAGCAAACTGACTCCCTATGCAGCTTGACTGACACTCTGAGGAGTTTAACCTTCTCCAAGTCTTACCTTCCTAGCCATATGCTAAACTAAAGAGGACTGTTTTAAACCTAGCCTTGAATAAAGAATAACATACAGCATAATATATAACATAATATACAACATAACACAATACATTATTGAATAATATATAACATAATATATAACATAATACAGCATATATATATAATATATACACTACATATTATATATTACCTAATTATATGCTAAATTAAAGTAAAGTGCTTTAAGCCTGGCCTTGAATGTGGAGACCGTATCTGCTTCCTTAACATAAATGGGAAGCTGATTCCACAGTAAAGGAGCTTGGTAGCTAAATGCTCTGCCACCAACAGTGACCTTTGAGACCTTAGGGACCACCAGACGTCTGGCGTTTTGTGAGCGCAACGCTCGACCTGGTTGATACGACACTAACGTGTCTTGGAGATAAGAGGGAGCCAAGCCATTTATGGCTTTTTATGTTAAGAGTAGGATTTTAAACTTTATTCTGTACTCCACAGGGAGCCAGTGGAGTGATTTTAACACCGGAGTTATGTGCTCCCTCCTTTTGGTACCTGTTAAGATCCTAGCTGCTGTATTCTGAACGAGCTGGAAGCTCTTCAAAGAGGCTTTAGGGCACGCTGCCAGTAAAGCGTTACAGTAGTCGAGCCTTGAGGTGACAAACGCGTGAATGAGTTTTTCCGCGTCACTTTTAGGAAGGAAATTCCTAATTTTAGCGATGTTCCGTAAGTGGAAGTACGCCGTTTTAGTTGCTTGGCTTATATAAGCCTTGAAGGAGAGTTCTTGGTCAAAAATGACTCCAAGATTCCTCACAGTGTTACTGGGTATTATACTGACATTATCGAGAGTAACCATCTGGTTAGTGAGGGAGTCACGCAGGCGCTTCGGACCGAGTAGGATCACTTCTGTCTTCTCCGGGTTGAGAAGTAGGAAGTTAAGAGTCATCCACATTTTAAGGTCCTTTATGCAGGCACTGAGCTTTTCTAGCTGATCTGTCTGGTTAGGCTTCATCGACAGATAAAGCTGTGTGTCATCTGCATAGCAGTGGAAATTAATTCCATGCTTTTTAATAATGTTTCCCAGTGGCAGCATGTAGAGAGTAAAAAGAATCGGTCCGAGTACCGAACCCTGCGGCACACCGAATTCCACTCCAGAATAAGGCGACGAGTCCTGATTCACATTGACGAAGTGATATCGATCTGATAAAGAGGATTTAAACCAGCCAAGGGCTGTTCCTCTAAGACCTATATCACATTCTAGCCTCTGCAGTAGAATGCTGTGGTCTATTGTGTCAAATGCAGCACTAAGGTCCAGTAGGACCAGCACTGACACTTGTCCATTATTGGCAGCTAGTAGTAAGTCATTTGTGACTTTGACTAGTGCCGTTTCAGTGCTATGATGAGCTCTGAATCCTGATTGAAAGACTTCAAACATATTATTTTCCTGCAGGTGGCAGCGGAGCTGCTCAGCTATAAGTTTTTCCAGGATTTTAGATATAAAAGTGAGGTTTGAGATCGGTCTGTAGTTTGTAAGTATTTCTGGGTCCAGGTTTGTTTTCTTCAGAAGGGGTTTGATTACCGCGGTTTTAAAGGCTTGTGGGACATAGCCACATTGTATGGATGCGTTTATTATATTTACGATAGGCTCAATTATCAAAGGAAGTATGTCTTTGAAGAGCCATGTCGGGACTGCGTCTAACATGCAAGTTGAGGCTTTTGAGGATGTGACCACAGAGATCACCTCTGCTTGGCTCACAGCCATGAATTTATCAAGGCCCACTGAAGAGTCTAAGTGGGAAGTCACGTATGCCACTTCAACCTGTCCACCACTAACAGCAGGAGCAACCTCCTCCAGCTTGTCACGGATGGATGTAATTTTATTATTAAAGAAGTGGAGAAAGTCGACACTGCTCAGTGAGCTTGGAATTTTAGGCTCGATTGCGCTATGGCAGTTTGTGAGTTTAGCGACGGTGCCAAACAAAAATCTACTGTTGTTTTTATTCGCTTCTATTAAAGTTGAATAGTATTGAGTTCGAGCCCCGCGAAGGGCCTTCTTGTAGTTTCGGAGACCTGCTTTCCACTCCCTGTGGACAGGCTCCGAGTGGGAGTGGCGATATAGCCTCTCCAATTTTCTGACGTCCTGTTTTAAAGTGTGGAGTTGAACACTGTACCAGGGCGACGATGATCTAATCCTAATGGTTTTCTGTTTTAAAGGAGCTGCTGCATTTAATGCAGATTTTAAAGACTCCATAGTGTTGCCCACCGTTTGGTCAATGACTGAGGGACTGCAGCTGCTGTGAACAGGTTCACCTGCAGCAGTATTCAACCTAGGCTGTATTAGTTCTTTGAACCTTGTGATAGATTTATCATTTAAGGTTCTTTTCATTATGGTTTTATCTTGCGGGACAGGAAAGTCCTCCAAAGCGAGATCAAACGTGATCAAGAAATGGTCAGACAGCAACGAGCTTTGACGCTGGATGTCAACATTGGAGACATCACAGCCGTAGGTCAGGACAAGGTCCAAGGTGTGGTTATGAATGTGAGTAGGTTCCTCGACATTCTGAGTAAAACCAACACCATCTAGTACGGCGCTGAAAGCTTTGTTTAAGCTGTCAGTGCTGTCGTCCACATGTATATTGAAGTCTCCAGCTATAACTATGTTTTCCCATTCCAAAACTAGGTTTGAAATGAAGTCAGAGAATTCTGTTAGGAACTCGCTGTAAGGACCAGGAGGTCGGTATAAAACTATAAATAGTACTGCTTTTTGTTTTCTCCACCCAGGACAGGTGATTGAAAGTGTTAAGTTTTCAAACGAGTGAAAAGCGTTGTTGGTTTTGGGACTAAGAACCAAGTTGGTGTGTGATATAATCGCAACACCACCGCCGCGACCTGTAGTTATCGCTTTCTGGTAGTTAACATGCGTCGGAGGAGTGCACTCATTCAATCTAACGTACTCGTCCTGTTGGAGCCAAGTCTCCGAGAGCGCAAACAGATCCAAGCCCTAAATAATGAACAAATAATTATGTACATTTCCATCCATAGACTCAGGCCTTAAGATATAGGTTCAATGGAATTCCTATACTCAATGCATGGAGTTAACATTTCAATCGA